GATGTTAGCTGGATCTTGGTTAAAAGTAGAGAATACCAAAGATATTTACTTGTGCTGCACTGACTTTGTGAAGGCATTGACTATGTGGATAATAACAAATTATAGATAACATTGAGAAGAGTGTGAATCCCAGAAGATTTAATTGTATTCATATGAAGCCTATATATACCTGCAGCAAGAAGCAGTTGTCTGAATAGAACAAGGAAACACTGTCTGATTTAAATCATGAAAGATGTCTTTTTTTTATCTAGTCAGGGTTGTATCTTTTTTCCATAGAGTTTATTGTTTCTCTTCCATTCACATCCCCATTTCATCAACATACAGAATACCCTCCCACTGCTATCCAGTTGATTCGAACTTGTACAACAAAGCACAAGTGTCCAATAGAGTTTCTAAGGCTGTTCATCTTAACAGAAGATGAATGTCTTTTTTTTTCTAGGAAGTGACCAGTGAGTTCCAGCTACTCACCCTTTGGTTAGCTAAGTGATTTAACCACTGTGCCACCAGGGCTCTCATATTCAGGATCAACTTAACTCAAGACAGTTGATTCAACACCCACTCATAGCTGACACTCCAGTGGATTTTCAGATGGATTCAAACCACCAGAGGAGTGCTACCTTTGAGTCAGCAGGGCAACTTCCTATGGACTGTGCTGCTGGCACTCTCTCAGAAGCACTAGTCCCATCCTGTTGCTATTGTTGTTGTTGTTGTTGTTAGGTGGTATCTAGTCAGCTCCAACTCATTGTTGTTGCTGCTGTTAGCTATAGCCAAGTAATACTCATATCAACCCTATGAACAATGGATCTGAACTGTCCTATTTTATAACATGTTCATCACTTCTGACTCACCCAAGCCCATTGCAGCAGTCTTTGGTCAGTCCATCTGGTTGAGGGTCTTTATAGCTTGTGCCAACCTTCTACCTTTCCAAGCATGGTGTCCTTCTTCAAGTAATAGCCTTTCCTTAAAACATACCTAAAGTGTATCAGACAAAGCTCTGTCATCTCTGCCTTCAAGGAGCACTCTGGCTATTCTTTCTCCAAGATGTATCTGTTCTTTTGGCAGTCCATTCATTACTTTGCTCCAGCACCACAAATCAAAGACATCAATTCATCTTCTGTTATCTTTACTAATTGCTCAGATCTCAGATGCATAACAAATGATTGAAAAGACCATGGCTTAAATCAGGTGCACTTTAGTCCTCAGACTGAAATCATTGTTCCTCAGTAGTTTGAAAAGTTCCCTGATTGCAGATTTTCCCAGGGCAATAAATCTCCTGATCTTCTGATGTCTGGTACCAAGTGCGTTGATGGTGGATTCAAGATGAAGTTGTTGACAGTTTAAGTCTATTCCATCTATCAAGATGTTGCCTATCTGTCCAGTGTTAAGAATTTTTGTTTTCTTAATGTTGAGATATAATGCATATTAAAAGCCATAGCCTTAGATCATCTGTAGCAAGTACTTCAAGTCTTCCTGATTTTCAGCAAGGTTGTGCCTTCTGCCTAATGCAGGTTGTTGATAAGTCTTCCTCCAACCTTATGCCACCTTCTTCTTCATAAGAATCCAGTTTCTCGAATGATTTGCTTAGCGTATGGATTGAATAGGTACAGAGAAAGAATACAATCCTGTCACATACCCTTCCTGATTTTAAAACAAATGACATTCTCTTATATGTAGGATCAGGCAGAGCTCACACCTGGACCAGGAGGCTGTTGTGCAAACAGAGCAGGGAAACACTACATGGCTTAAAATTGAGAATGGAGTGCATCAAGGTTGTATTCTCTCTCCATATCTACTCAGTATGTGTGCTGAGCAAATTATTTAAGAAGCTTGACTTCACAAAGAGTGTGGCATCAGTATTAGAGGGAGACTCATCAATAACCTGAGTTATGAAGACACAACTTTGCTTGCTCAAAGTGAGGAGGACTTGAAACACTTGTGCAGAAGATCAAAGAATGCAGCCTTCAGTATGAATTGCATCTCAATGTCAAGAAACAAAGATTCTTTCTATTAGACCACTAAGCAATATCATGGTAGATGGAGAGTACATAGAAACTGGCACCAACTTCATGTTGCTTGGATCCAAAATTAATACCCTTGGTGCCAGCAGTCAGGAAATAAGCAGATTGCTCTGGGAAAGTCTGCAGTTAGGGACCTCTCCAAATTATTGAGGAGTCATGATGTCAGTTTGAGGACTAAGATGTATCTGATTGAGGCCATGGTCTTTCCAATCTCTTGCTATGCATCTGAGAGCTGGACAATGAATATGGATGACAGAAAAAGAATTGATGCCTTTGAGCTGTGGTGGTGGAGAAGGGCACTGAACATCCTATGGACAGCCAAGAGGATAAACAGATATGTGTTGGAGGGGGTGCAGCCAGAGTGCATTTTGGAGGCAAGAACAATGAGATTTTGCCTCACATAGTTTGAGCATGTTGCTAGGAGGGGCTATTCCTTGGAGTAGGACCTAATCTTGGGAAGGGTGGTGGGTTGTCCAATGGGAGGAAGACCCTCAACCAAGTGGATTGACATGGTGACTGCTACAATGGCCTCTTGTGTGTCAGGAAGTGTGGGGATGGTGCAGGATAGAACAGGGTTCAGGTCTTTGTTCAGAGAGTCGCTATGAGTTGTACTCAACTCGACAGCACCTAACAACAACAACAGTGTTCTCTTGTTTTGGTCCTATAATAGCCTTTTTATTTTGATATAGGTTTCACTCCAAATCATAGCTGCCCTGTATACAACAGAAGGAAGTACTGTCTGACCATTCACCATCCTCCCTTTTCACTGCTGTTCTTGAGCACATAGTTCTAGCCACTGTGACAAATTTGAGTTTCATTCCAACCTAAAGGATTCATCATCTCCCAATACTGTATCAATGCTGCTATTCATAAGGTCTTCACTAGACAGTGATTTTCAGAAGTTAATGGCTAGTTTTTCCTCCTAGTCTTTCTTAGTTCAGTGAAACCTGTCCACCATGAGTGACCCTGCTGGTATTTGAAATACTTGTGACAAAGCTTCCAGCATCACAGCAACACAAAAGCCACCCAGAATGACAAACTGACAGATGAAGGTCCTTACCAATACTTTTCTTATCCCCCATCTCTACTTTTACACTGAGCTTTTTCTCTCTCCCCTTCAGTCCTTGCCCTTCTCCCTCAGAGGGTTGGCCAAAGTTGCATTTGTTCAGAAATATTTTAAGTCCCACTTGATCCATTTTGTCCCTGCTTTCTGCACTTTTTCTTCATAACATTATCATTTGTGTGTATATATTTGTATCCTATGCTTACTGATTTTCTTCAGTAAACTGTAGAGCCCTGTAGAATAGGAACCATGTCTGTGTAGTTTACTATGCCCTTCATTGCACCCTCCACAAAACGTAAAAGTTACTGGTATGGCACAAAACCTAGTACATAAGAGGTAGTTAATAAATACTGCAGGGGAGCTCTGGTGGCCTAGTGGCAAGAAGCTGCACTGCAATCCCAGAGGAACAAGGTTCGAATCCACCAGACGCTCTGCCAGAGAAGGAGGCGCAATATCCTCCTGTACCAGTCAGATCTGATTTGACGGTACACACGCACAAAAATAATAAAATAAATAAATAAATACTGCAAACACTCTATTGGATGAATGCTGTCATTACTTCCTCCTCTTGGGCTGTCCTGCCAAAGCATCACCACCAAGTCATGTACTAACTCTACAAGAAAGCATTCTTGTGGAGCCCACATCCTCTGGGGGAAAATGCAAGCACCTAATCCAGGCTTTCTTATTAAACATTTTCTCTCCAGAATTTATATATTTTCTCCCCAGAATTTATATATTATTACAAAGTAGGTTGTGTCCTCTGATTATTTCATGAGGTCCTAATCATACTCTTAAGTTCCAAGCCGCTAAAACTTGTACAGAATCTTTTTTTAATCCTCCTATAAACTTAGCACAGTAGCCGAGAAGGCTTATGGAGCTCAGCAAATTCCTGAAGAGTGAATAAATAGATCAATCTTAGTCTCTGTTCTTTTGCACAGAGAAAATTCTTCAGATGGCACCCATGGAGTTACCATTGCAGCAACACTTTTTTTTTCTAACCACAATTGATTGCTGTACTTTCTGTCTTCCTTGTTTGCTTTTCAGAGTTTCAATAAGAAGAAAACTATCTTATCTTGAAAGAGGAGTTGGATTTCTTTTTAATAAGAAAGCCTGAATTAGGTGCTTGCATTTTCCCCAAGAATTTAATAACAGCACTAGTAAAGCTCTCCACTCCTCAGCCGACCTTATTTCAGATATAAAAGTACAAAGCTTCAAGGTAAGGTTTTCCCATGATAAAAGAGGAAGACTGGATATTACCAAACATTCTAAAATTCATTGAAATGTAGCAAGGCCACCTAGCAAGGAGATCTAGTCTGAGCATGTTTTCAGAATTCAAGGCTGTGCTGGCAGACGACAGGAAACATCAGGTTATGTGCTAGATTTCTTTTTTTTCCCTCAAACCTATGGAGTCCTGATGTTTGCTGCTGAAAATTTAAGTAAAGCAAAAGCATAGTTTTATTTTTGCCTACTTCCCCCATTGACAATTAAAACTTAACAAATTTCTATATGTGCTCCATTGTTCTGAAACAACACTGGCTGGTTACACAGCAAGTGTGTCCCAAGTTAGCCATTTTGCTAGTGTTTAACTGTGAACAAAATAAACTCTCTCTTTGTGTATATATGTATGTAATAGAGATCTGTGCATTTTATTATTTTTTAAAGGCCATAAGGGTTTGTGTCCAGTTACTACCTTCTTCCTGCATTTAGCATTTGACCTTAAAACATGAGCCAGAAAGAGGAAGGTAAGTTTTGCTAAATAGTTGTTAAATCATTAAAGTTGTCATGAGTTAAAGCTTTTATGAGTATGTCTTTATGGTACCAATTAATTGCCCTTATTTTACCCTAGTGGTCAACTTTGTGACAGCCACCAGTCTATAGAGATGATGGCTGATGGAGTCCCCCTTTCTCTCTGTCTCTCAGGCTGCAGGAGTCCTGAAGGTTGATGGAGGGCCATGCTATTCAAACAGCAGGCGTGGCTGAGACAGAAGCTGCTTGTGCTGGGAAGCCTTGCTGTTGGGAGTCTCCTGTATCTAGTTGCCAGAGTTGGGAGCTTGGATAGGTAGGTAATTAAGCACATGTTTATGCTCACGTGAATTTGAGTGTCTCTTGAATGGAACCCCCTTGGGAATATAATTTCAGATTCACCCATTTTTCTTCCTCCCTTAAAATCCTCAAGAAACAAGCTTTTTCTGCAGTACTGACTTTTATTTACTGAGCCTTTAAACAAAAGAGATCCAAGTTGCTCAAACGAAGGTGTTTATCAAGATCCATTTGCATTCTGTGTGCACTGACAATTGTTTTCAGAAAAGGGATAAAGCTGCATAGAGTGAAAATGCCATTTATTAGAGCTTAGCATGGTGTGCACATATCTGATGCTGACCTCTGCCATAGCAAAACAGCAGTGATGTATTTATGTGTCTTCTTCCTGAAATATATGAGTGGACAATTAATGTGCTAGCAGGAGAATTAAAGTTATGTATGAGCCTATAAAGGAGCTCATCAAGTTTGGAATCCATTGCCCTGGAAAGAAGGCTGCAGGCTTTGGAGTTTTAACTATGTTAATTAGCTCCAGTTTTCAGAAGCTGAATTACCAGGCAAGGAAGCTGTCGCTCAGAGTAATTGCCCAGAAAGCAATGGAAAAATCCATGGAGAGGAAATTACTGAGCTAGAGTTTGGTTCTAAAGAGGCAAACACTTGAGAGGTGCTGGACCTCCAGAAGTCCAGCATTATCAGCTGGCTCCACACTGAATGTCTTTAGGATTGTCCTGTCCCCAGTGCAATTGGAAAAGACAAAGAAGTGAAAACCTGAAATGTGAAGCTGCTTTCTGTGCCCTTTAAAATCAATTTCTTGCACTGGCAAGACTGAACTATGTTCTCCATTAACTCAATTCCCATTGTCCCTGAAAATGCAGGCACATTTTAAAGTGAAAATATATATCATCCTTTCAGTTTTCCTTTTCTTTCCAAAATTTTTAATCTGTACATTCTATCACTTGGATATTTAATAAAGACTATACAGTGCCTTGTTTTTCTTCAACCAGAGCTATTTTTAATTGACAGACTGAGCCCTTTTGATGTTTTTTAACTCAAAATTCCTGAGTAAATTTACTGCTCCTTAGTTGTTACCAGGGGAAATTGAAAGTGTATGACTGACCTAATGCTTAGATATTAGTGAAAAGCCTTTACGATGTGCCACTTCCTATGACCAGAATGAGCCTCTTACATCAAGTATCTTTAGCTATCATCCAGTCCTTTACTTTTTATTGAGTTGTTGATCTAATGAATATTAATGCACTTGTTATTGTTAGGTGCTGTCGAGTTTGAGACGACTCATAGTGGCCCTATGAACAAAAGACCTGAACCCTGTTCTATCCTATGCCATCTTCACACTTCCTGACTCACAAGAGCAGCAATCACTGTGTCAATCCACATGGTTGAGGGTCTTCCTCTCCTTCGCTGACCCTCCACCCTTCCAGCATCATGTCCCTCTCCAAGGAATAGCCCCTCCTAGCAACATGCCCAAAGTATGTGAGGTGAAGCCTCATCATTCCTGCCTCCAAAGAGCACTCTGGCTGCCCTAGATACTTAGTTTATGAGTCTTACTTTTAAGGCTCTAATATAAAGTTTTTCTTGAAATTGGGTTGTCTGATACTCAAAACATCTTATTGTTATCTAGTTGATTCTGATTAAAAGTGGTCCTGTAGAACAGTTAACTATCCCCTAACATTTCCAAGGCTGTACTCTTTATGAATGGAGTTGTGGTAGTGTAGTGGTAAGGAATTGTGCTACCAACCCAAAGGCAGGTGGTTTAAATCCACCAGCTGCTCCTTGAGAAAAAGATGGACCGTCTATTCTTGTGTGATTTACCGCCACTGAAAACTCGAGAGTCAGGTATGAGTGGGTTCCAGTTCCACAGTGCTTAACAATAACAACAATCATTATGGAATATATTGCCATATCTTTCTCCTAGCTGCTTATGGATTCAAACTAGAAGTCTTCTCAGTGGACAGCAAAATGTTTGACCACTGCACCACCAGACTCTTTGGATTACCTAGTAGGCATTTGCAATGTCTCTCATTTGAGAGTTCTAACAGAAAATTGAAATTAACATATAAATACATGTTAGACCTATCTCTAAGTAACTAAAGACATCCCACTCTGGGAGACTGAGCTCATTTACTTCTGAGACTAAGATTGTATATTGTTTATCCTAGGAACTATTCCCAGAATCCAAGAGGGAATTAATACGATATTTTCTCCTAGCCTGATTAAGGAATCCCAGTTGTAATTATTCTGCAGTTGTATGAATTCCCAATGTAGAAGGAGAGGAAGCAAGTAAAATGACCCTTTGTAAAGATAGGGAAGGAAGTTCTGATCTCATAGTCCTAGGAAGTTACTCAGCTAATCAAAGGCAGTGAGTGCGTCTCTGGTTCTAATCCACCGGCAGCTCCTTGGGAGAAGGATGGACCAATCTCTTCCTATTCTATTTAGTCTCTTGTTGGAGGGTCAGCCATTGATCAATTCTGACTTGATGGCAGTATGTTAGAGATAGGGAAATTCTGTTCCTGCTCAAACAGGGCACAAAGTCAGCCTCTCTAAGCTTGAGTTCTGCAAGAGAAAGAAACCTATGGAAAGGAGTTTGAGTGCTATTTCCTCAGTTCACCCAAGAATGATACTACAGTTATTCTATATTCATAGGAAAGAAACCCATTCAATGGATGCCTAAAGAAATTAAGCATGGTAACTAAGTTAACTGAGTTAAGGAAACTAAGACTTAACTCTCAACCAGAAAGAAAAAAGAGTTGAAAGGAGAACCTTTGATATTTCAAACAATGTCACAGTTACATACACCTTTGGTTATTAATATATTATAATAACAGATGCAGATAAGTTTTTCATTTTCAAAATCTTTCATTAAAAGCTACAACGTTGATTTACTACCAAATTGTTAAAAATATTACGTGCTTCTCTAAGATTATAACTGTGTTAAGCTTCTTTTTTATAGTTGTCTCCCACAAATATTCAACAATTGTCATGATTTCTTCTTGAAATTATAAAAAGCAAATAGCACAATAAAGCATGTTTAGATTTAATCTAAACAAGACACAGTCCAAGTTCTCTCTCTTCAGCCTCACAAAATGGTCTGGGTATGACCTTAAGGTTTTTTTTCTCATCTCCCTTTAATAAAAATCAAACAAGAGGTTAATAATAATAATAACAATAATAATAAATAATAATAATACAAAAGGGTATCTTGGGAAAATCAAGCAACAGCCTCATTACTACAGAGAAGGAAACACAAATTATTAAGACTACAAATTATAATTGGAAGCATGAGTTGGAGAAATTGGTTTGACTGTGTTCTTCCATTACTAAGTTGGATAAAATGCCTTCCAAGATCAATTTAAAGAATCTGTTATGACTCTCACTTTAGTTTTATTTTTAAGCCATGCTCAAAAGAAAACACAATTTTCTAACCATATATAACAGTCATGTGAAATTACCTATTTAATCCAGTCTCGTATCAAAGCTGTGAGTATTAGACCACACTAGAACCTGGTAGATGCAAATGGCTAAGACATTTGGCTGCTAACTGAAAATGTGGAGGTTCCTGCCAAAGGTGCCTTGCAAGAAAGGCCAGGTAACTGAAAACTTTTAAAAAGTACAGTTGCACTCTGACACATACAGGGAACCATGCAGTGAATAGTGCTACTAACTCAAAGACCATGCTTGTCTGGCAGTTCAAATCCACCAACATCTCCATAGAAGAAAGGTAGAATGGATGGAAATCCAAAATCTCTGTAAACATTCAATAAAATTAATAAAATAAAATACTAAAAAAAAAAAAGGGTGAACAGTCTTCTCTCATGCAGTCAACAACCTCAGAAGCCCAGTGGAGGGTGTTATAACTATGAAACAGACAGACAAACTTTGCTTATTTTAGTTGTCACGCCTTTTTGTCTCAAAGGAAAGCAGAAGTATCTGTTTCTAGGGTCATGCTAAAGTTGAAAGCACCCTTTCTGGCTATAGCCATTGGATTATTTCCCGTGTACAAGAGCTCTCATTGCTGATTTAAATGATCTTGGCAGTGAGGATCTGAGAGTTTTGGCCCCTGGGTAAGTTCCTGTTGATTTCTGGTCTCCAGTGTGATATGTGATATACAGTTGATGTCAGTTGGGTTTGTTCCTGCATCTAGCAAGTGAAATCATAATCTTAACCTCTTCAGAAGGGAGGAAGGGGGCCAGAGAAAATATTGTCCCCTTCCAGGCTTCTCCAAAGCCAAAGACAGTCATTGTCATAGAATGAAAAGCTTAGCAGGTGCCCGAACTGGAACTTTGCAAGTTGATGATGCAAAGAGTCAAGGGCAGAGACAGAGACCTCTATTCAGCTCAGAGCTTTTTCAGAGCCATGTGAATGCTACTGAGCTGCAAGAAAATCCTCCCCTAGGAACGCCATGGCTTCCTGACTGACCTTCAGTCTCCTAAATGAAGATCATAGTGTCCACCTTTTCATGTTTTCTAATCCATGTTCATTCGTGATCTATTAAAAACCTATTCGTATGGAGTGTGCCACTTGTCTGTCCTGTTCTTTGAGGTTAAGTACACACTGTAGTCGACTAAGCGCTCGGTGAATAAAAATTTTAAGGGACATTAATTTAAAAATAATAATAGTGAGCTCTCTTGCCCAGTCGTAAGTAATTGCACTGCCAGCACAAAGTCAGGCTGTTCAAATCCACCACCTGCTTCCCAGGAGAAAGATGGGCATTCTCCTCTCCTGCAATTTACTGCCTCTGAAAACCTGCTAGAGAGTCAACTATAACTCTGTTTGGACTCATAACAAGAGCAATGAAAAGTCTTGTGTTTACTCCACCTAAGATACATTTGCATTAAGTAAAATTTCCCATATCTGTGGATTATGGATTGTATGTATTGGTTATGGATTCACTGGCAGTCACTGGTTTTGTTTATGTGCCGGGAGTCTTGCTCGGGCTTACTGGGGAACTAGAAACATGAGAGTCAATTGCAATGAGCTTTTTCAAGTGTGTCTCTATTGCTTGCAGGCTCCAGCCCATTTGCCCCATCGAAGGCCGATTTGGAGCCCGCAGTCAGGCCGATTTCCCACTTCGTGCCCTGCAGTTCAAGCGTGGCCTGCTACACGAGTTCCGGAAAGGCAACATTTCCAAAGAGCAAGTTCGCCTTCATGACCTGGTGCAGCAGCTCCCCAAGGCCATTATCATAGGAGTGAGGAAGGGAGGCACCAGGGCCCTGCTTGAGATGCTGAACCTCCATCCTGCAGTGGTGAAAGCCTCCCAAGAAATCCACTTTTTTGACAATGATGAGAATTATGCCAAGGGCATGGAGTGGTATAGGAAAAAGATGCCCTTTTCCTACCCTCAGCAAATCACGATTGAAAAGAGCCCAGCATATTTTATCACGGAGGAGGTTCCTGAAAGGATTTACAAAATGAACTCATCCATCAAGCTGTTGATCATTGTCAGGGAGCCAACCACAAGAGCTATTTCTGATTACACTCAGGTGCTAGAGGGGAAGGAGAGGAAGAACAAAACATATTACAAGTTCGAGAAGCTGGCAATAGACCCGAATACCTGTGAAGTGAACACAAAGTATAAGGCAGTAAGAACCAGCATCTACACCAAACATCTGGAAAGATGGTTGAAATATTTTCCAATTGAGCAGTTTCATGTCGTCGATGGAGATCGTCTCATCACAGAACCTTTACCAGAACTTCAGCTCGTGGAGAAGTTCCTAAATCTGCCTCCAAGGATAAGTCAATACAATTTATATTTCAATGCCACCAGAGGATTTTACTGCTTGCGATTTAACATTATCTTTAATAAGTGCCTGGCGGGCAGCAAGGGGCGCATTCATCCAGAGGTGGACCCCTCTGTCATTACCAAATTGCGCAAATTCTTTCACCCCTTTAATCAGAAGTTTTACCAGATCACTGGGAGGACATTGAACTGGCCCTAAAAATATGTTGTACAACACTGTGTGTTGTCCCGGAGACATACAGTGTCTCTCTCTTAGATTAAAATATGCACTTTTCCTAGACAAAGCTATCCAAGTCATTTTTTTCATGTATACTTGTATAAACATTGTGTGTGACCAAATATAAGATCAGTTCTCTTTTTCTACTAAAAATGTACAAAATACAATTGCTCTCAGCATAGTTGCGTCTTTTTAAGCTCTTTATGAAAAGAAGAGGGGATGGTCTTAGGGGAAAGTGACTTTAGTTCATTCTCAAAGAGTCAATCTTCCTTTGACTTGGAAATTGTCACCCACCCTCTCCATAAATTTAAGCCAAAAGATTTATGTGTGAAAAAAGTACCAATGGCTTTGACACTGCAGGAAAGAGAAGATTCAGTTATGCATTTTTATTCTAAGAGAAAGCTGGTTCTTCAAGTCAGTTGCCCAGTTGGTACTAGGAAAACAGAAAATGCTATTTTCTTATTATTTAAAGAATGTCTTATCTCATAAAATTGACATTGTTCCAAAGTTCCTGTGATGATTTTGCACTATCGTTTTCTTGTATGAACCACAGTGTCACTTGTAGCATGTCAATCACACATTGGAAAGTCAAGTCCTTTTAAACCATGTTGTATGTCAAAAAAAATGTTGTGTACATAATGTATATGGTTGTAAATACTGGTTTCACACTAAGTAATTCTATTTTGTAAACTGAATATGGCTATTTAATTTATTGTGAAAATTAAATTTATTGTGGTATTTAAAAGTGGAATGGATTAAAATTACTCTATGTACAACCATTTTCTTTTCTTTAAAAAGAAACAAACCCAAAATTTATTTTGTTTTACCTACCCCTGCTGGTACCCAAAATCAAAGCTATCTATGTGCATATGAGAATACTTAGAAAGATGTGTTCTTCCATTGAATTTTCATAGCCTTGAGAAAATAATATTTATGAAATGAGATTGAATGTATTTTTCGGAAAAGTTTCAACCATCTGGCTATCTGGTATAATAGCCACGTCAAAGAACCTAGTGCTGCTAGCTCCAGCTCCTAGCAATTAATTTACTTGCAGTAGCTGCTGTGCCAGGAAAGAGATGAGGAATTCTTTAACAGAATCAAGGCATTCTGTTACAATCACAAATTTATCTGAACCTTTATCAGAGTCACACCAATAGAGAGATTAGATAAAATAAGATTAGAAAACTTGTGTGTCTATAGTCAAAGCTGCTGAAGCTTCAAAAATGAATACAAGGTTTCGGAGTTCATTCTAGATGAAACTGTTCCAGTCTGCGCTGAAATGATCAAACTGCATCGTGTTGCTATTACTAACACAAACATATGGCTCATATTCCCATCCAGAGAAATTAGTTCTAAATTGAGTGCCTTGCTAACATCAGACACACTTTTGTGTTATGCTTAAATACAATTCAGGAAAACGTGGAAGGGGTAGAAACAAAAACAGGATGGATTTTTCACAATCACCATTTCTCATCCAGTGGAAGTTCTGGCTGCATAAACTTCTTATCCAGGGAGTTCTGTTCAACATGACATTGCAAGTTCCTAGAGAAATTGGTAATAGCAGTGAATTCCCCATTGACTAAAGTAAGTATGGGTTTTCTCCATGTGTTGCTTATCGTGTCCCATGATTTGATGGTGAACATCTCTGGATAAATAGCCCTTCCCCTCTGGTGTCAGTATATATTGCTTCTCAAGCCACAGCCTTTGTAATCACCTGAAGTGTTTCAATTAATCCCAGTGCTGTTCTCTCAGCATGAAACAAGCATGACACCAGCACATGCTGGCAAGTGGGCTTTCTGCTCACTCTGACTTAGGAAGTGAGTTTCAGATCCAAATGTTAGTCACTTCTCCCCTCACCCATGAAAGAAGTTTACCGCTAATATATCTATTCCCTTAGCTCTGCTAACTTTCAAAGGCAAATCTTTGAAAATGCATGCAGGGACATAATCACTGTTACCATTTTTGTTATGTACCATCGAGTTGGGTCTGACCCATAGCTGACCGGTTTTCAGAGGATGTGCCCATCCTTTCCTATGGAGCAGGTGGTAGATTTGAACCGCATACCTTCAGGATTGCAGTGTAGCTTCTTGCCACAAGGCCACCAATTTGCTGTTCTCGTGAGTTTTACTATAATTAGTACTAGAGCACTACCTCATATAGTACTGATGTAATCAAAACACCACAAGTGGGGCTTTCACAGAAATTATTTGTCACCATTTAGGAGGCAGGAAGTGCTGATTCAGAGCAACAGCTCTAAGGGAAGGTGTTTTCTTTCAGTTCTGGGGGAAGATTTTTTTTGGTTTGTTTTGGAGTTTTTTGTTTCTAGTGCTTCTTCCCATGTCTTCCCTTTCTCTTCATTGGTGAACCCGTGAAATGTAGAATACAAGTGATCTGCTTCCTTAGTACAATGATGGGACATTTGTTGTTGAGTACCAAAGAGTCGGGACAGACCCATAGCTGACCCTCCGTCAGGTTTTCAGTGGCATTTCATCACATGGGAGGAGACTGCCCATGCTTCTCGCATGGAGTACCTACAGTGGAGCAGCTGGTGGCCTCCAACCACGTGCCTTTGGGATACCTCAGAAGTCAAAAAATCCAGGCTAACATTACACATTAACTCTTAGGACTTGAAAAGAATTGTCTTTCAGATTATCTAGGCGATGACTCTGCTCTCCAGACTCTGGATCCATGCTTGCTGGGTTAGAAATTTAGGCAGACATGTCCTTACTGTTGGAAACAGGAGTTCATGGTAAACCCTTGAAGACTCCAGTGGTTGTGGCCTTAGACCTGGAGGACTGAAGTAGCTCTGTTTTTCATGCTTCATGTGTCTTTCATTTCTGTTCCCTAGGTCATTGGTCTCTTAGATTCTCAGTTTCTTTGGGCTGGTTCAGCCTTTCACCTGCCCGGGCAACGATTACAAAGGTCTTTACCCCTACTGATTAGTCCATTGGGAACCCCACTCCACCTGTAAGCTTTGGCCCGAACTGCTCAGCTCTCATACTGGGAGTTTGCAAATCCAACTCCACCAACTGCCCAGAGGCTCCCTGTTTCCCTGGGAAGCCTCCTACCTGAAGGCCCATAGCTTTCCTGCATCATGTGTTTGCCCACCTATCACAGTGGTCTCCTGGTTCTGCTGCCACTGTTTCTCATTGTCTGCAATAGCTGCATGATTACACCTTACTGCACTCCCTCCTAAGCACTCTTTTGAATTGCCTTGATGTCCATACAGCCTCTTTGAGACAATCTTTACTTTTACTATGTTACTACTCTCATTGCAATCCAGTCCAAACCAACTCTTAGCTGACCTTCCATGGGGTTTCTGAGGCTGTAAATTACATGAGAGAAGATTGCATATCTTTATCCCAAGGACTTCCTGATGGATTTGAAGCACCTGAGAAGGGCAGCCTTTGGGCTAGCAGCACAACTTCCTGTGAACTACACTACCAGCATACCCTCTTGTTGTTTGGTGCCATTGAGTCGAGTACAACTCATAGCTACCCTTTGAATAAAAGATCTGAACCCTGTTCTATCCTCACACTTCCGGACACACAAAAGCCCATTGAAGCAGTAACCATGTCAATCCACCTGGTTGAGGGTCTTTCACTCTTTTCACTGACTCCCTATCCTTTCCAGCATCATATCCTTCTCCAAGGAATAGGCCCTCCTAGCAACATGCCCAGAGTCTTGCCTCCAAACAGCATTCCGACTGCACCTTCTCCAGGACATATCTTTTTGTTCTCTTAGCTATCCATGGGATATTCAGTGCTTTTCTCCTACATTGTGACTAAAAGGCATCAATTATTTTTCTTTTTTTTTATTTCCCTCTGTTAGGAACTTTAAAAAAACTTCTCCAGCCTTTACCCATTACCCAATTCCAAAACTTCTCCCACATTTTATGTATTTGTTAGAGTAGTCCCTATCTCTTGGTGCCAAAAAACTTTGCATTCGTTCTCTAAGAGCTGATTTAATGGAAATACCACAGTATTACTTTACCAAACAAATTTGTTCTTTTACAATTTAGGGGCTTTAAGTCCGAATTCAGAGCTATGACTGCAGAGAACGCTTCCTCTGCAAATTTGAGAGAAAGTGTCACCCATTCTACATAAAGTATTTCAGAAAATAGAAAAAGATGGAATCCTCCCAGACTCATTCTATGAAGAAAACATATCCTTTATACAAAAGTCAGGTAAAGACACCACCAAAATAAAAAATTATAGACCAGTGTCTCTCATGAACATAGATGCGAAATGTTTGAATAAAATTCTGGCTAATCGGGGAAAAAAAAAAAAAAGACTATGACCTGAATAAGGGTGCTTCCACCCAAATCCCTTTACAGCTGATTCACATTGTGGCCCTGATTAAATCATTACCTTAATTACAAGATCACTGACAATCATAATCAGGCCAGAATGATACATTTTTGCAGACACAATTTAATCTATGACAAGCACTCTACAACCAATTCAGTTTTATTGTTGTGTACCACTGAGTCAGAACCGACCCATAGCTGACCCTCCAATGGGTTTTCAGAGGCAGTTAATCACATGGAAGGAGAATGCCCATCTTTTTCCTACAGAGCAGCTGCTAAATTTGAACAGCATGCCTTTGAGTTGATGGCCCAACTCCTTACCACTATAACACCAGAGTTTCCTTGACTTTATAGTAGTGACTGTCAAACCATGCCCGAGTGGAGCACTGAGATTTTAAAAACCTGGCCAAGATGTTTGACAAGTAAAAATAAAACATGGCAATCGTTTCTCAAACTCATAACAAAATTGGGTGGGGGAAAGGACCGTAACAATTTCGTTCATCAGCCTTTTTTTTGAAAATGTTTGCTATTCCTCCCAATAGTGTATATAGCAGAATTTAGTCTAAAATTTTGTTTTACTAACTCTTAATTTAAAAAGAACCCTGAGCTGAACAACACCTTGCTTGAACATGACTGGGTAGTAGAAGAAATAAAAAATGAAATTAAAAAGTTTCTTGAAACTAATGACAATGAAAACA